TGCAGTAATGCGGCACCCAGTGTTCTCCGAGTTGTGTTTGCATCCGGGCATGGGCGCCTGGGAGCGTCCGTGGAAGGGGCACTGCTAATTGCAACAAAGAACCGTGCCGCTAATTGCAACAAGGAGAATCCTGAATGTAAAGTGCAGATCCTCTTCTCCTGGGGGAGGAATAAGAGAAATGAAATGCCAAAGCTTGCGGGATGAAATGAATGTGAGTGACCTAAATTAACTTTGTGGTTTTTTTGTTTTTTTTTCAGCTTGATAAAATCTTCTAGTTATAAACGAGGACTTTACATTAAAAGATAGTTAAACAAGGAAACACGGATGAAAATAAATTGCAGGAAGTTGTGATCATCTGATTTGGGGCACTGAATACCTTGTTCTGCATGCCTTAGTGCTTCTAGCTGCAAAAAATTGCAATTTCTTGTGTAATATTTTTTTCATTGCAGAAACTTATTTATCACTTTGATGTTAATCAACCCATGCTAAATATTTATGCTGAACTGTCCAGGTGCAGAAGCTTTATGCATGTCCCTGTGTTTATTGCTGGGGCTGAGTATCAGTCCTTGTTCCTTTTAGGCTACTAAAATAGGCATTGCTAACCTATTTTGGTTAGCAATGTTGGTCTCCAAGTAGATACAGGTGGGCACTGTGGCCATGGGAAGCTTTGTCCTTGCATTGGCCTTACTGGAGAGAGGGGAAAATACGATACCTTCCTTGGCCACTCTTGGTCTGAAGGAGTTGGAATTGTTTCTAGAAAATACCACAAATCCATTGTAAGTTTTCACTTGAAACAAGGCAAGTTTTAAAACAAACATGTTTATATTCCTGTTTCTAGGCAGGGATCTGCAGGCCAGGCTTCTGACCGTAGCAGATCTGTGTGGCCGGTGCTTGGCTGAGAGACCAGCAGGAACTCGAGGGCGTTTGGCAGTAACTCACCAGGTAGCAGTGCTGCAGCCTGGACCTGGGTGGGAGATGTGTGCCATCTTCGAGGTCTTGTGGGAGGATCCCCGCTCAGTTCTGCAAGCTAGAGGATTATGTACTGTGCTTCTGTAAAAGTGGGAGCCTTGGTCTGTATATACAAGCGAGAAATTAATCAAGGAAAGGAATTATAAAACAGAATGAACTCTGGGGAGCGCGGTTCTGGTACACTGAACTGGCGTGCGTGGGAACAGGAGGGGCAGGATTACCCAAAAGTCCTGATAAAAACACCTGATCACAAGCTCTTTTACAACAATTGCAATGTTTGGTGTCTGAGCAGCTTGTTTTAAAAGCACATAAGCATGAAATGTAGATAAACTGCAGCTATTCTCAGAGAAAGCTATAGTGGGGAACTGTACATAAATTGTAGTACTTTACTTGGGTGTGTATAATGGTTATACAATCTCTGGCTTTGCCAATAATTCTCCGTGATGCACAAAATCCTCAATAAAGAATGTTCTATCACTGTCTGACACTTTCCCAGCATCTGTCGCTGTATAAACACAGCCTATTAACAGTTATCTTTCCGAGTAAGAAAACTTTACATATCCTTAATTAAACCATTAGTGCAAAATTAACCAGACTAAATATACTAGTAACATGTTGCTCATCACTTTATGAACTGGCGTAAAGCTGGAATGTTTCAGGTGATATTTGTTGTGCTTGATTCTGCAGAGCAAACGTTGTCCTTTCTGTTACATGAAAACCTGCTCCTGTTGCCCCTCCTGTCAAATGAGAATGGATGTTGGACTGGCCCCAAAATAGTGGGGAGATTTACTGGTCGTTGGCCTGAAAGTCAGTGAAGGAGCTCATTTTGGGTCTTTGGCTTGTCTGGAACAGTCCAGGTGACCTGTGCTTTTGGGGTTTTGACCACTTTTACTATATCAACCTCCGCTACTTTCCGTCCTTGGCAACCTTAGCTGTACCTTCACAAAGTACATTTTTATTCTCTTCACATGTTAGTGTAATTTGAAAGTAATCAAATACAGCATATTCATAACCACTTGTAGGACTGAACATATATGTAGGGCTTCTGCATACCAGGACGTTATCTTGTAGGACTGTCAAGCTTCTCGAGATGACATCTGACAAAATACCTGGGGTGCCTGCAGGCTTAATCCGCTTTTAGCAGAGGAGCTATTGTGCTTGTGTTGCAGAAACACACTCATCATGTCACAAAGTTATCATCCCTCTAGTAGGGGAGATAAGGGAAGCTGTCTGCTGTCAGGATTTCCTACTCCTTGCCCCCTATGTCCCACCCCCAAAATCTGCTGTGGAATTGTAAACAGGGGTGCAAAGGTTTGAAATAACATCTTAAAGTTTTAAAGCCTTTATTTGCCACCATTCCTGGTGCACATGACTGATCTGGTGGGAGGTCCGGGATGTTGATTTTTAGCAGAGCGCGTGTTCAGCGTGTGGTACGTTTGTATCAGCTGTACTGGAAGAGCTGATCCTGTATCACGTTAACAGTTTTCTGCTGTGAGTTTCACAGAGGTCAGAGCATTGAAGAAATGGCGTGTGCATGTGGCTGAGTTCAGAAACCGAGACTAAGGCTGCTAGGACAGCAGCTTGTATCCAAGCCGAGTTTTTAAAGTAGATGGGTGTGTTTTACGACCAAGTCTGTCACGCAGTGGATGAGACTGTTCGTATCAGGAGGGGAAGTAGAAATGCCGTGAAGGGAAGCTCTCATCATACGTCTTATGGTGTGCGATACCTCACATTTGTTCGTTAGCCGGCAGGGTGTGGTGCCTGGCAGGTTTTGCCCACACCGCAGCTCCTACCAAAACTTGGCAGGGTTATATGTAAATCTAGTTTCTGTTCGCTGCCAGTGTTTCGGGATTGATCGTGCATTCGTCTCTTGCCTGTCCGGGTACCTCGGGAAGTGCTGGCTGTTGGCTGTTGTCACCAGTTGGATGCATACCTGTCTGGGTGGGGTGGAGGTGGGCCTTGCAGAAGGAGCTGGAGAAGCTTACCTGTGCAGCGAGTTGGACCAGTCCTCATGCGTGGGGCGATCCGCTTGGGTGTAGAGCTCTGTGTTGGTGTTGTCCTGTCTCCTCTTGGCAATGACCAGGCATTGGACAAGTGCTTAGGAGCAGCAAATTGTTCAAACCAGTTTAGGGGATGGCATCTCTCTTTTCAGGTCTGTCGTTAGACACTGTATTGTGGACTCCTTGTAGTAGGAGCAATACAAAACTTGCACAAAGTTTGTTTATATATAAATATTTCTATATGTGTACAAATATGTGTATTTCACAGCATTAAGTACCAAAGCTGACAAGACATTTGTCTTGTGTATTTGAATGAGCTGCTTCTCCCAGCAGCTGCATGGGAGTTCAGCACACTGGTAGGGACCCTGTAGCAGCATCATAACCTCATCTGACAGGAGCTACACCAACAACCATGCCTTGATGTGTAAGGGGTGGTGGTGAACAAAGATGTTTTTAAGTGGATCAGCTTATGTATTGAGGCCTGCTGTTTGTTGTAGCCTAGTCTCTGGTTTGTAGTGTGTTACAGGTGACTGCAGTACTGATCCTCGCAAGCTTCTTGGCTTGTACCCTTCATGTGGCAGGGGATGGACAGTAGGCATCTGGCCACCTTTAAACAACTTTGTTGAAGGAGGCAAACACAAGAGTTGGGCAACTTAGTTTATCTAGGAAGAAAAGTGGACAACAAACAACAGAAAGTGTAAATATTTCTATGTACTGAGTGGTGTTTGGTGCAAAATGTGAATGGCTGTTTTGGGCACAAATCTCACAAATCCTACTTTTGTCTTTGTTGTTCAGCTGCTCTTCAGGCCCTAAAGCGTAAGAAGAGGTATGAGAAGCAGCTTGCACAGATAGATGGCACGTTATCAACAATTGAATTTCAGAGGGAAGCCCTTGAGAATGCCAACACTAACACTGAAGTACTTAAGAATATGGGTTTTGCTGCTAAAGCTATGAAAGCTGCCCATGACAACATGTAAGTTACTCCCTTCTGCATCTTTCTGTAGGAGCTTTAGTTTGTCATTTGTTTGATCTGCTAAATGCTAGGGGTTTCATAACCAAATGTAGAGCTAGAGTATCAAAATCGTCTTCTAAAAGGCTGTAACTACTTTAATATTGAAGAAAACGTGCAAGTATCGATGCTTTCTCAGTTTTCCACCATTTTATACAGCACAAAGCCGCTGCCTTTGTCCAAAAGAGGGCTAGCAACAGTGTAGTCTAAAGCAAATGAGAGGGTGCACCAGTTACAGATCCAGCTAGCAGCAGCAAGAATTTTAAGCCTCAAGGGGAGACTTAAACTTCTTTCTGTGCAGCAGAGTTTGTGTATGTAGCAATAATTAAGGGTAAACTGCATTATGGGAATGTTGTACTTGCTACAAAAGTAAATATCGTAGATGTAATAATGTTGGATCAGGGAACAGAGCAAATTATTATTCATACTAGTAAAGCAGAACAAAACTTCATATCAAGTCTCTGTATATAACTGCTGTGAGCTAAGCTTTTAGGGAAAAGTAAAAAATACATGCATAATTTAGTTGAGACTGGGGGGATAAAATTCAGGCTTGCATGGAAAGTATATTTTGGGAAAGGACCTTGTAAAATGTCACCATAGCGTGGCATTTCTACAAAACAGCCTTAAGCGCTGATTGGGAAAGTGCCTGATGATAATGAACTCCTTCCTTTCTTTTACAGGGATATTGATAAAGTAGATGAATTAATGCAGGACATTGCAGAACAGCAAGAGCTGGCAGATGAGATTTCAACAGCCATCTCAAAGCCAGTAGGATTTGGGGAAGAATTTGATGAGGTATGCTTTAAATTTGCCTCTGTTTATATCATAAAATTATAGAATCGTTTAGACCGGAAAAGACCTTTAAGATCATCAGGTCCAACCGTTGACCTGACACTACCAAGTTCACAACTAAACCATGTCCCTAAGAGCCACATCGACATGTCTTTTAAATACCTCCAGGGATGCTGACTCATATGAAATCTTTAAGCATGTTGCGTGTGTCTAGTGTAATACTAAGATACAAAATCTCTCCTAGAACTTGTTACTAGCTGTTCCTACCAGTGCATACAGCAGCTGTGACCCTGGCTTTATGCTGAGAATGGTCTGGATGGACTGGTCTGAGAATGTTGGGACTTAGATTTCTTATTCTCTTTTCCCACCCTCCTCACCCTCCAAGAGATCACATACAGGAATTCAGATGAAGATTTGGACTCCTCATCTCTTCAGTTTGCTCTGATCCTATGTGTTTAAGCTCTTTTCTTTAATAATATGACCAGCTAAATCTGCTTGGTAATAAATATGAATTAAAGTTTCTTCCTTTTTTTTCTTCCTCCTTTAAAAAACTAGGATGAACTCATGGCAGAACTAGAGGAACTAGAACAAGAAGAACTAGACAAAAACTTGCTGGAAATAAGTGGTCCCGAGACAGTACCACTACCAAATGTGCCCTCAATATCAATACCATCAAAGCCAGGTATGTATGGACCTTTACCAGAAACATCTCAGATTGTTAAAAAGTTTGCTTATTTAACTGCAAGCTCCTCAGATTTGAGAGATCTAGCTGCAGGCAGCACAGACATTTTCTTGAAATTGCTTCATGAATCACAGATTACATCTAGTGCCGTTTCTCTGTGGGGGTAACCTGCCTTTCATAAGAACCACGAAAATTAATAGCTATCACAGGAGCAGTTAGTATCTATTCTAGCACTACCAGTTTACAGCATGGATGGCACTCAGGGTAGAGTGGAGATGTGGGGAAAGGAAGCCTTCTAGGAGTTGCTGCTGGCCCAACAGGGAAGTAATCTTGACAAAAATACCAAGGCGGTAAAAGGGAGCAGAGGGTAAAGTAGCTCTTGGAGTTAGTCTCAGGCTGGTTCAGCTACTCACGCTGAACAGTGCTTCCTTGCTGCTGCTTTGTTTTTTAATTTGATCCCTGCTTTTCTGGCTTTTGGGAGGAACTAACCTCAGAGTCCCCTCTTTGGGGACAGCTGTTGCCTCCTCTGAGGCAAACATAAGGTTTGCACATACTCAAGCCAGACAGTACCAAACTTAGGGTCATCTCAGTCTTAGATTACATATATCTAGGAAATTTTACTTAGTGTGATGACTTTATGTGGAGAGCAGGCAAGAAACGTCCATATTTAGACAAACAGTTCAAAGCTGCTGTTAAATCTCAACTGATCACTCTTCTGTGAACTAGAAGTGATACCTCATGAAATACAGTTGAGTTGGAATACCTCTGGCAGGCATTAATGGGATATGAAACTTTACCAGCCTATTTTGCTGAATCTGCCTTAATGTATTATGAGTAAGTTGTAGACTTTGGAGCTCTATTTCATGTGCTTACTTAGGAAAAAAAGATCAAAAAAGCTAGAGGATGAAAACAGTTCCAACTGGACAGCGTATCTATAATTATATTGCTGCCTTTTCAGGCTTAAAAGGACCTGGGAAGCAAGCAGACGTTGCCAAAGAACAAGGTTCTGCTTTAGGTGGCATGCTGTGAAGTTTGGTCCTTGCGCGTTATAGTTCTTTTATTTTGACGTAACTGATTTTCTGTTTTTCTGGTTCTGTTTTACTGGGCAGAATTGCTGATGTGTGTTGATGAGACGGAAGTGAGTTATATCAAAATATCTTAAATATGAGACTTTATCTAGATTCAGATCCAGCAGTGGGAAAAATAGTTCAAATAAACGTGTGCATTACCTTTTTATTTGCTAGCTGGTTTAATGAGGTTTCTTGTCTAAATATTCTTTGGGCGTGGACAGTAAAACGTACTGACTTGAACCCAAATATACTTTTTGCATTGTATTAGGTAGTAGTGACTGTGCACTAGTAAGAGGAATTGTAACTGTGCACATATTTAAGTAACTATACAGTATAAGACTTATGTAGACATAGCACTTCCTAAAATAATAAAAATAATGAGTGTTTTTTGTAGTAAAAACCATGACTATAAAACTCAGTGTTTTATAGGATTTATATTGAGCTGCTTTTGGATGGAAATTGGAATTCCATTAATGTGTTTAAATGGCATGTTACTTTTTACTTAAATAAAACTGCCTCCAAGACCGGCATTTGGGAAACCTTGGGATTCTGGGATGGTCGTAGGTAGGGATTTTGTGGTGGGGTTTTTTTGTTTGTTTGTTTTAACCTAAATTGTTTTTCACTTAAAATTGATTTAATATACGCTGGGGTTAAAAGTTTACTTCTGGTCATCATGAGTCGGACTTTCAAAGGGACTACTTTACCTAACGATGCAGGTACCTGCTTAATGTGTCTCTTGGAAATAAGTAATGTGTCTTCTGCGGTAGAGCTGGCTCTTATTACCTCCTTTTTATTCATTGAATGGAAAATGAGTGTGAGCTTTCCGGTTTTTCCAGTTCTCAGGAGCTGTCTGGATTTTGACTTAATCAATCTGAATGAGAAATTTTTTGCTGTTGCCTGTCAGCAATTGATGTCAGAAGAAACTCAGGCAAAAACTGGTTTTGTTTAACGGAGACCGGAAGAGCTTAATTTAGGAAAATAAATTCTAAACTTGTACAAATGATAGGTCTTCAGTTTGACTTAAAGCTGACTCAGTTCTCTCTTACGTAAATGTTTCGAGTACGAATTATTTGACTCTTCCCCTCCCCCCCTTTGGAAGGGAAAACACTATCTGAGGAAATGACATCTTCTTTTTGGTATTTTCCAAAATTATTGCAGCTATTTCTGAGTTAAAGCCTTTCTGCTGAGTTAATGGTTTTTATCTTCAGAAACTGGACTTGTCATGACAAATAGCAGCGTTTGCTCACCTGGAAGGATCAAAAATGATAGCAGGGCAGCATGTAGACTGCTGCTTAACATCCACATCCAACCAGCTGCTAGTGAGCATGGCAAGAGGAGGGGAGTAGCACATACTCGGTGCTAGTTAGCTCTTCAGCCCCTTGAAGAGCTTGAACTGTCACAGGAGATGGAGATCTCCAAATTCTGTACCTAGTGAGATGAAAACACAGTAGCTTCGTTTGTTGCACTTGGAGGATTTAATGATGGAATAAGGAATTTATTTTTTATAGGGGACAGACTGTAATGCTGGAGATGTCAGACAAGAAGCCGAAAACTTGGGGTCTTCCGCTAGGAGGCTTGGTGATTATGGAAAATGATACACACCGCTGGTGTACACATGTTAACCTTCATGCACGTTTGCATTCTTCCTGTATGAGCTATTGTCTCTTTCCACTTAGAGTGGTAATATCAGGAAGTTTAGCTCATTCTGGCTTTTTCAGAAGGCACCTTTTACTTCAATTCCAAAAGGTCTTGTGTATTTGTTTTCCTCTACTGGCATTTGGTCCTTCATTTATTGTTTAGGTCAGTGGCACAGAGGCTTCTCTCCTGCAAAGAACTGAGACAGGGTTCTGTCAAGATTCCCACTCATTTGTTTTCTTTTAATACTTTGCAGCCAAGAAGAAAGAAGAAGAAGAGGATGATGACATGAAAGAGCTGGAAGCTTGGGCAGGAACCATGTAACCGCAGCAGTAACTGGCTGGAAAAAGACTTTAATTACCTATTCTGGGTGCAAATGTGTTGTGTTGAGGAGAAAGCATAAGCAAAATGTCTTTATCTTTAATTTTAACCTAAAGCAGTGTGAACTGCATTGCTGTTTTCTGCATAGCATGGTCTGCACAAAGGAAAGAAAGGGGAGCAGGGGGAATTGCCTGCAGTTTATACGGTTGAATTTCTGTAAAAAGGTATTTGCAAAGTCAAAGATTCAGCTTTTGGACTGTGCTACTGCCACTGCTGGATATTCATCTTCAAAAGTTTGGGCCATATTGAATTGAAACAAGCTGAAAAACACTCTGTAATTTTAAGTCAGTTTTAGTGTATCTAGAAGTCTTGTAAAGCATTTAAAAACAGGAAAAGTCGTAACCCACCGTCGGCTTCTTATTGTGTTTAGGTGCGAGAATGCTTTAGGTTTTTAGTTCTTTGCAAGTTATATTTATATCCCTTGACTGATGTGTGGCCAGCCTTGTGTTTGTCACCACAACAATGTAGTCACTATTTCCATTTTAATTGATGATAACGATTTGCAGTTGACAGACACCATCTTGGAAGTAGGGAAGATTTAAATTTCAGTTGTACATTTTTTCTACATAGCACTGCAATGTTTATTGCTTTTTTGTGATAATTGATAACCCATTCAGATACATGCACACAATTATTTTAATTAAGAAACTACTATGGATTGCACTGTATTAAATATCTTGATTAATTTTCATTTGTGGCTACTGTTGTCAATTTTTTATGATGTTTAAGTAATCTGACTATAACTTACGTGCAGTTTGGCCTCTTTCTACATGAGTGACGTAGACTGTTTAAAGATAGCTGAACTTCGGTTGTATGGCTGTAGCTTAGTTGTATAAAACTACAGTCTTGGCTGAGCAAAATTGCTAGAGGGCTGCTATAGCTGTTAATTTTTTAATTTATGTTTATTTAATATTATTGTAATAATATTCTGGTGCACCATGTCAAAATCCCCACACTAAGGAGAAATCTAAGCTGAATTAATAGCAGAAACAAGAGGTTTAGGGGCAGAGCTTGGGAGCCTTGGCTTTACACTTTTTTGTCACAGAAATGATACCTGTTGTGCACTGTGCTAACAAATGTTGTATTTTAAAGCAGCGGTATTACAGGAGTTATGGGTGAGCATCTCAAGTGCAGTGAAGTGTCTTAAGAGAAGTGTTCAGGTGTAACTGGGAGAAGAAAGAGAAATCCCGTAAGCACTGTTAATGCTTTTAAGGTTACTGATGTAGAAGATCAGAAACTAAAGTGACAGAGGCACCACCTGGCAACGCAGCTGCTTCCCGGGTTGTTTTCTTTCCTGTTAGTTTAGCCAATTACTTTAACTAAAAGAAGAACTTAGTCTGCACAGCAAGAAGATGATGCAAGGAGTGTGTGTCATGATTCCTGTTTACTTTTAGCCAGCCAGCTAGGATAACCTTATTTTTTCCTTGGTTACTTTAATAATTGTTGGGGTGGTTTCTTAATCCTACAAATTGTAAACTACTAGTATGTCTGAGGACCCATTACCTTTCTGCTTTGAACGTCACTGAACTCCTTGATATATTGCGTAGTATCAGTGAATAGCTAAAACGCTTAGAATAAAACATTATTCTGCCTTACTTGGAGTCATTCTGCGGGCAGAACGTACCTGCAAGGAGCACCAAGATGTGGTGTAAAAGGGGGCAGGTATCAGCTGCCAGCAAGCTTTTTGCAGCTGTGTACTCACTGTGCAGGATTTGCCCTGTCCTAGAAAACTATTCTTGATTAACTTGCCCGCATCGGGCAACTTAGTTTGCAGCTGCATCAGTGTTTTCTTGTAGAGCTGCTGTTATGTGTTAAAGGAGGCAAGTGGAGAACTGGGATCCACGTATTTTCAGTTTGTGGTTGATCCTTGTTTTTACCTCTGGGGAAGGTGAAAAGCATTGTTGATTTTGCATGCGTGTAGGAGACTGACACATCTAAAACAGGACAAAAATATAACCCGGGCTGATGGACCTCGTTGCTGCTTTTTCCCCTATAAATGTTCCCAGCCCTTCGCAGAGGGGATGGCTGTTATCTCTGCTGTGCAGGTGGAGGAACCACGTCATTGCGTTTGTACTTTGACCCTCGGGAGGCACAGCGCTTGGCGCGGGGAGTGGCAGGGAAGTATTTTGTATTTATGCTGCTTGTTTGGGTTGAGTCAGGAAAGAGATTGCTGTGTGGTGGCTGCTCAGAGGCTCAGGATTTCACTCACACCAAGTTATCAGGTTTTCTACCTTTAGAACAGGGTGAACGTGGAAAGAGAGCACGTGCAAAAGCTGGGCCAGAGAGGGGCTGAGGTGGCTCTGCTTTCAGCGCTGCCGATTATAAACCTCAGCGCACGTCCTCCCCCAGGGCCGGAGAGCTCTTATCCTGCACAGTGGGCGGGGGGCTGTTCTCTCCCAGGGATTGTGGAAATCCGTATGTCTGCCCAGTACTGCTTTATATGAAATCCATCTTTACTGTCGTTGGAACTTTACCTTTCCAGATGTATAAATGGCTTTTCTCTGTGCCTTTCCTGGTCTCCTCTCCAACAGATGCTCTTTCTGGGACTTAAGACACTTAACTGTAAGAACCTTCAGTGTAATGTTAAATAGGCAGGAGGTAAGAGGAGCTCCATTAGCCACTGGTGGCAAATCACTCTCCAGTTGCTTTACTGATGAGTTGTAAGCAAGTTTGCTTGTTAGTTAATGCATGTTAGTGACGAGCTCTCAGGAGGTGCTTCGTGGGACTTCCCTGGCGTGAGCAAGAAGAGCTCGCAGGAGTGCGGTTGGCCTCGCACGTGGGTCCCGACGCAGTAGGAGCAAAACAGCGCATCGGTCGCGGGCAGCTGGGTATGTAGCCCACCAGGAACCGTCTCGGGGTGCAGCGAGGACCAATATGCTCAAGTATAATCTACTTTTTGGGACTTGAAGTGTTTGAGGGAAAGTGTGACTTCTCCAGAAAAAGTCGTCAGACCCTTGTCTTTGCTTCGCCTGCAGGGAAGTGCTCCCCAGGAACGAGTGCCGAATGCCGGCTGCCCATCCCTAACAGACCTCCTGTGGGCCAAGGGCTTTGCTGCCGGATGTGCCACAACTGTTGTTGCCTTCATAGGTCTGCTCTTCCTGCTTGTGGCTAAATGGCCGACTTTGTGTCAGCGAGGAGAATCGCTCCAGTGCTGGGAGAAGGCAGAGCTGTTTGTCTTCTCGGTGTTTCGAGGCTTTCACATCCAGCGTGGATGAAGCACTGCGTGTCGACTGGCAAAGCTGTGTCTGGGGAAGTTCCCTGCTGTGCACGGCCGCTGTCCGTGCTGGTGGGGTCAGGTGTGGCTTCAGCACCAGCTGCAGCAGCAGAAAGGGGCTTGTGGCTCTGGGGAGAAGGTTTGGGAGCTGCTTCCCGGAGTAGTGCCAGAGCCTGGCTCTGCCCACAGGCAGCAAGTGGAGGTCAGCAACAAGTGCCTGCACGTGGCTGTAGTTCGCTCCCACAGCGCGGGCAAGTCTGAACCCGCTCTGAGTGCCCTCGGGATGGCAGTTCTTGGCGTGTTTGCTCCAGGGGTGGATGGAGATGTGGCTGCTCCCTACAGGCACGGAGAACCTGTGTCCTCAGCTCAGGAAGGTGAATATGGAGGTGGTGGGAGGCAGGAGGCCTTTTCCAAAGGGGCGGAGGTGCTGTCTTGGCCACATTTGCTGGTGCTGTGA